CACGGCTCACAATTGGGCCACGGCCCACAATTGGGCCACGGCCCACAATTGGGCCACGGCCCACAATTGGGCCACGGCTCACAATTGGGCCACGGCCCACAATTGGGCCACGGCCCACAATTGGGCCACGGCCCACAATTGGGCCACGGCTCACAATTGGGCCACGGCCCACAATTGGGCCACGGCCCACAATTGGGCCACGGCTCACAATTGGGCCACGGCTCACAATTGGGCCACGGCCCACAATTGGGCCACGGCCCACAATTGGGCCACGGCCCACAATTGGGCCACGGCTCACAATTGGGCCACGGCCCACAATTGGGCCACGGCCCACAATTGGGCCACGGCCCACAACTGGGCCACGGCCCACAATTGGGCCACGGCCCACAACTGGGCCACGGCCCACAATTGGGCCACGGCCCACAATTGGGCCACGGCCCACAATTGGGCCCAACCCACAGGTTAAGAATCTCTGGTCTAAAGTGAATAAAGGTAATTTTAGGCTTTGGGACGGTAGTTTTTGTGCATTTTCTACACTTTCTGAAATTATGACAACAGATTTCGCCCCATCTTGTCAAAAAATGACGCAAGGGGAGTACCTGACGCATCAAAATCTGACGCAGAGGGAACTATGGAAAAGCATTAATATGTGACGACTCAGGAGTGAGAATGGGTTGCCAAATCAGCACTGGAGTTTAAAAAGGACACTTTTTCAGAGATGTTGGACAGCTGAATATATTTTGGTTCAGATTAAATAGGATTCAAGAACCAACTTGTTTATTCACTAATTTAATGAAGCACCTAAGGAAGGGATTTGTTGCCAAAAGCGCAGTGAGAAAGGATTTATCAGTACTCTGTTGGAAAAACTGTCCCGAAGGACGACTGCAGTTGAAAGAGCATCTGCTTGTACTTAAAGCAGGGAGGTTCTCACGTGAATAAAATAACAAGGCGAGCAGAGCTGTGTGTGACTCACAGTGATGAATGCATAAATATTTTCCTAAAAGTTGTTGCGTGTGTGAGTAAGGTGGGCAATGAGACACCCTCACAGTAACACATTTTAATGCAAAAGATGTAATCAGATGTTTTTATTGAAGACCAAAAATCTCACGTTGAGTTTACAATCCAAAGACACCATGAAAGTCTCACTTTGACCCTGACTTTGTTTTAAACAAAACCAGCGTGTGCTCCAAACGCTCATTCAGTCTCCTGTCTGGAGTGGACAGAACTCAACAATGTAATTTAAATCAAAGAGGAAATGACATTGTTTTTTTATTTTTTTATTTTGTGACAATTGATCTATTTCACAGCATATATTTAATATTTGAACAGTCAGACACCATGTCTATTAATAATGGCTGTGTTTTATTTGTACTGAACAGCAGCACTTGTTCTAAATGGAATGCGGCCATCATTATTTCAGTTTGACTGTGATTTAAATATTTGCTGTGAAAAAGGTCTAGCAATGCAGATAGCTGGACTGTCTGTTCGTTAAAGACAGAAATAAACTTGTCTTTAACCAGAGGAATCAAACTGAGTTTGGTTCACCTTTAATTTAAAATTTAGTTTTCATTTGGCTCTTCAGTGAGGTAAATGGGAATATGCACTAAATATTTATTTATTAGCTAAAGAAGTACAGGGAACGGTCATTGTTAAAGTGATTGGTCACTGTAAAAAACATTTACATCTTTTGTCTCTCAGACATTCATTATTCAGCACTTAGAGGCAACAGTAAACACGCATTTTGTAATTAAACACAGGGGCTTCATTACAAATTCTATATTTATGTACCACTATTTTAACAATTCTGTGTCTACATGCCTGTATTGTTCATTCGACATGATTGTAGCATACCTGTAAGAGCTTCATTTGATAGATTTTCCTTTTCAGTTTTTGTATTATTTATGTTTGTTTATGTTTAAATAAAAAAATACTTTTGTAAAAGAGTTTAATGTGAATTGAAAATACCAGTTGTTGCTTGCAGTYATTTAAAGTCAAAGAATATGCAACCTCTTCCGTAGACTGTTATAGGACTAACTGGTCACGCTGATAGTAAAATCACTGTAATATGRTTCTTAATGATCACCAGAAACTTTAGAAAATTCATCTCCAGTACAGCTAAACAATGAACCGTGCTGCTCTATCAGCTCATTACATTACATTAGAGGGAATCCACCCAGTACTGCAGTGACCAGCTAACTACAGTAACTGCAGATATTTGTAGCAACTTAAGACCTGAGGGGGAAAAGACTTCGTTAGATGGAGATGATGATTAGAATTTTATTTCTTCACTGAAATGTTTGAGCTCTTTTGGTCACAGAGACTTACTGTATGAAGTCCTGCAGACAGAATTTGTCTGTTGTCTTCCTGAGTATTCCAGTATAGGACCAAACAATGTGTAGAAAAAATGTGCTGTTCAAAATGGCATGTCTGAATAAATGCAGGAATCCACTGGATTTCTTCTCAAAACTTTATTCTGAATCTTCTGACTCCAGTCAGGTTCACAGTACAGCACTCAGACACAAGCTGTGTTTCCATTCACCATGAAAATGCGCAAATTAGAATTACGAAAAATAAATTGCTCAATGGAAACACGTCAATTTGGGGAAAAAAAAGTTTTTCGCAAAAAGTTTTTGCACTAGGATGAGGTGGTTTTTCAGCCGTATTGAAATTGGTGTTTTTCGCAAAACTGCAATGGAAACACTTTTTTCGCATCACTGGAGTCACGTGATCAACAACCGTCTGTTTCTACTGGTGAAAAAGACGAAGAGGAACAGGAAGTAGAAGTAGTAGTAATATCACAGAAGTAGTATAAAATAGTAAACTCAGCGACTACAATTTCCCAAAAACACAGCATACGTAGCCGCTCCCAAGTAGGGACTTGTCTCTGGAAAGCCTCGATAAAAGACGCCGACGTCTCCTCTGATGATGAGCGCTAGTGTCGTGGTAGCAACATGCTATGTGTTTACATCCATCACTGCCATGTTTGTAATGACTTATCGCGAGAACAAACGTATTCACGTGACTTTAATAACATTTCTTACATAATGGAAACACCGCAGTTGAGAAACTGTGTTTTCAACATTAACAGAATTTCGACAAAGTTTTGCGCACATTTGCAATGAAAACACAGCTACTGAAACTGAAACACCTGTCATTTTAGTGTGGGAGGTTTCATGGCTATGTTGGACCAGCCTGGTGGTCAYTCTTCATTAATTGCACATTGCACCAGTAAGAGCAGAGTGTGAAGGTTCAATTAGCAGGGTAAGAGCACAGTTTGGCTCAAAGTATTGCAATGTACACAACATTATGGGTGACATACCAGAGTTCAAAAGAGGACATATTGTTGGTGCACGTCTTGCTGGAGCATCTGTGACCAAGACAGCAAGTCTTTGGGATGTATCAAGAGCCACAGTATCCAGGGTAATGTCAGCATACCACCAAGAAGGACCAACCACATCAAACAAGATTAACTGTGGACGCAACAGGAAGCTGTCTGAGAGATGTTCTGGTCTAAAACCAGGGGTTTCACTTTCATTGTCTAACCCCTGTATGTAACAGTTCTTAGTTTTTCAACATAAAAAGAGTTTTGAAATCCACAGAGCTACTCTGATTRGGATATAAATAACTTCAGCCTTAAGTGTAAACAAAAATGTTAAACGTCTCACCATTTTCTTGTGACTGAAATTCACAATTGTTGGTATTTAACAGAAAGTCTTTAAATTGTGTTGGGTCAGTAATTAGGAAAAGTGTAGCATCTGCTTGAAACCCACTCGAGTACACACAAATTATTACAGGCACAAATACACTGACCTGTCTCAGCTGACACATGTTCAAATATTAGTGCCATAATCCACAGTTAGAAACTGAGATGATAATGTAGTTTTTTATGTAGGGCATTCTCTGTGTGGCGTGATTGTAATTGCAAACCATAATTGTTTAAATGTGTAACTTATGTATGAAAACTCCCTACTTTTCCCCCATGTGGCCTTCAGGCTTGGTGCCAAAAAGAACTAAGGTTCGGGGTTCTAGGCAAAGTTTGGGCTTTCCAAAACCATTCTCTCATTGCAAGAGATCAAATATACTTGTTGAAAAGTGGTCAAAAATGTAATGTCTGAATAATGTGGCACGACCCACTTGGATTTCTAACAAAACTTTATTCTTGTCTCTGACTCCAATCAGCAGTACACACAGCGCAGACAGCCTATGGCCTTGGCCCGGACCAGGAAAACACAACAATCCCTCTCAACAGCCCAGCTGATCTACAGACTGCTAAACTAACAACAACCCACATCATGATTCAACCTTTTAACCTGCAGGCTCTTCCTGGTTACCCCCCTGAAAGTGGTCACTTTAACTCAGATGTAAAACGTAACCAGTTTTTGTTGATTACACACAAAGTCTTTCTCTGTTTTGACTGCAATGATCAGAAAGTATAAAAATACAAAACTGAATCTAACATTCAGTTAATCAATAACAAAATGTCCTTCATACTGATCCCAGGGCCTGCTGGAACTGCACAGTTTCATGTGTTAGGTTAGGTTTAGTTAAATTAATGACGACACTGTATAACATATCCTGGACTGTTGTTTGCCTGAGAATAAATTTGCCCAATTTTTAAAGAGATTTTTCATGTATGAATGAAAATATAGCAAATTTTCATATGTTTTACAGAGTTCAGTTACTGAGTTTGACAAATATTTAAAAGAAACAATGATGAGCAAAAAGATCAATTTTATTTTGAAAACAGTAAGTGAAAAATGAGTTTATTTGGAGAAGGTAAGGTTTCCAGGACAGGTTTCAGCGACACCTAAGTTCCGTAATCGCAACGAGTCACATGAAAGCAGGCAGTCAGGGATGAGGCAGTTGAGCTGATTTTACCGGTTTATTTTTTAGGTAAAGCCACGGGGCATACATACACAGAAGAAGACAGTAG